TTAATCAGCTGTTTGTTTGTAAATGTTGAGCGTAGTGTGACAGTTTTCTTTGGAGTGTGTGCAGCAATGTCTCTGTGTGTCAGTCAGAATATCTGTGTGGCCCACTTCCTTTGCACTGCAGAGTTTTGGATTTGGTCCATCTGTTTAGTTGATCTCTTTAACTATTCCCTTGCCCCAGTACTGATATTTTTCCATTCCAGATCCTTACCCTATTTTAGTACTTGCTCTTGTAATCTGGATGCATGATTCCTTGACTGACTCTGGCTTCTCACTCAGCTTATCCCAATTTTCTCTTGCAGCCTTGCATCTTGCCAGAGCTATTTCTCAACTCCACCTATCTGTAATAGGGATCAGTGATTTTCTGTCTCCTTTGCCTAGTTCTATTCCCACTGTTCATCTCCTATTTTAAAATTCACATAATGATAGAATGGTTTGCTTTGGAAGGGATCTCTGAAGGTCATCTAGTCCACCCTCCCTGCAATGAGGGATACCTTCCACCAGATCAGCTTGCTCAGAACCCCATCCAACCTCGCCTTGAACACTGTCAGGGATGGGGCATCCACAACTTCTCTGGGTAACCTGTTCCAGTGTCGCTCCACCCTCATAGTAAAGAACTTTTTCTTAATACTGAATCCAAATCTTTTATTTTAAAACCATTACTCCTTGTCCTATCATTGCAGACCTAAAGGTGGGAGGGTGGGGGTGGTGTCTGCACACTAGTTGGGTTGTGAAGCTATTTGCATACCACCAACATTTAGGATTGTCACCCAGCAGGTTCGCTGCTGAACCCCCTGATGACTCCCCCATTGCTGATGAATATGCATGGGTTGGGTCTCTGCTCAAGTATATCAGCAGTTTGTCTGACATGGACAAATATTTTTGGTTGAGGTGTAACAATGATGGAGAGGATTAACCAGTGGTCTGTTTGAAGGACACCAATGGTCTGGACCAAGGTGTAATTGTATTTTCTTGATATACAAAATTATATTGCATGAATCACAGTACAAATATTTAGTCATATATTTGTCTTGAAGTATATGTACATGTAAAATGCAATTTTAGCTGTAATGTTTGCTACTGAATACTACTTAAGAGAGTCTCAGAGATTATAGTCTAACTATTAAGTTATACTGTTTAGCAGTTTAAGGAGATCCTAGGGTCCGTCTTCTATTATCATGAAATCTTGGAAGATTACCTGGCAAAAAAAAATGTCCGCTTAACATGCGACACTATCTTTCATTGCTTTACAGCAATAAGATGAGCTATAGTTGGCAACTCCATAGTCTAGGCAGTAAATAAAGAGCATAATGAAAATGAAAGCGTCTTCAAGGGGTTTAGCGGAGTGTGGAATATTAGCCAAGATCCTTGCCAAGACCACACCAGCAGAACATGATGACACTCGGTGCTACCCTCGTGAAACCTGACAGTCTTTGCTGAATGAATTAAGTATTTCAGTACTAGAAATCCCAAGTGTCCAATTTTATTTTTTTTTCTACTGAAAAGCAGTGTGAGGAGCTGGAGCTGGGCTTTTTGCTTACTGTTTCTGAGCATTTAGTATGCATTCAAGTCACCTCTTGTCAAACACCTCTCTCAGCCATGCAGCCAAGAAAACTGCTTAAAAATCCAGACGTGTGTTTTCATGAAATCTCACCATTACAGCTGCTGAGATTTAGGAAAGCAAAACACTGAAAGCTTATGATATGTTTGCAGAGTTTGGCAAAATTGTGCTAGCACTAACACACACATTTCCTAAGAGCAGTCCTCGTAGGATGTCTCCAGGTAACAGCCACAGTTTCTCTGCATCCTAGCACTTTTAAGGTAACTGTGAATAACAAGTGACCTTGAATCTCTCTCCATTAACAGAGACTGGAGATTCTTTTACACCTTCTGGTGCTACAGACAGAAAAGGTAAATACATTGGTGTTATAAACCCCACTATTTTGTTTAACTGATAAGTATGACTCCTTACAGATTTTATTAAGTGATTGGATTTGCATTAGGTCCTGACACTTGTCAGATGTGCGTTGAAAAATTACTAGAAAACAGTTCCGCTTATGAGGTATCTTAGGTGCAGATGTCCTGTTGCAAAAATCTGTTAGCACTGCTTCCAGCAAACATAAATGAACATGAAAAGCTCAGCTAATTAATTTACTGATATAAATGAACTTTCAGACAACAACATAAATTACACGTACCACACTAAGTGATTGCAGGAGCTTAACAGAATGTGCCACATTGATCTTCATGTTCTGTGGAGGCTTTGTTGCAAGGTCATGTATACTACTTAATTCACATAAAATATTTGCAGATCTTACAACCAGCCAATTTTATGGCATAGTGTAAAGGAAAAATTAGTTACCTTTGCTTCAGTATCTGGGATCAAGTGATCCACATTTACTGGTTATGTAGTACACAAATCACAAAATGCTCAACAAAACCTCAGTGGAACAACAGAGTCAGTTAGAGCTTTGTGTACAACTTAAAAGAGTTTGTAGCTACGACTAGTCGATAATTAAATTTAATGCTTAGCAAAAACCATCTTGGAGATAATGAAGGGGAATGAGATACACACTGACCTAAAAGTAGTGAGAGAGCTTCTTTGCTCCACCAACATTTTATATCATTTATCTGAGTAAGATTTGGATATTCTTTACTGCTGTCATGAAAACCATCTGCTACAAAACATTTGCTTATTAAGTCTGCAACTGAAGAAACAAAAATGAAGATTTTTAGAGAGTGACAGAAGTTCAAGGGGTCCCATCTTCACTTACTTATAAAATACCAGTGAACAAATAGCCTTCCTGATTTTCAGCATGCTAAGTGCTGTGAAACCACTGGGAGAAAGATACTAGAAAAGATGTCAAAGTGTAATGCTTTAAATACCCACGCATGCTTTTGTCCCCAGAAAAGAAATATGAAATAAAGAGAACACAGCATCTGGCTAATTTGCTGAGTCAACTGGTATTAGAGGTAACCCTCAGCCACTGATTTCAGTGACTAATTTGACAATATTTGATCAAATTTCAGAAGTGCCCATTAATTCTTGGAGTTTCAATTTTGACACAGACTGTACTTAGCACAGAACATCTTTCAGCTATCATTGATCTGAATGAGATCTTCACGTTCCTACAAAACAGATTAATGATGTCATAAATTTTAATATCAGAAAGAGCTGTTATGGTAATTTAGTCAGGCTTCTTTGAATTCTGAGAGCACTTCAGTAAGCGTCGCTTGCATGGAGCCTGTAACTTACAGCTGAGCTAACACATCCACAGGAAGGCTTTCAGTCTTGATTTAAAGACTTGTATGATAGTGAGCCTACCACATCCTAGATAAAGTGCTTCACAGTTAGTTACCTCAGATTCATTTTTTTTTCTGTTTCTAGCCATTTGATTTTATTATGACCTTACCTGTTAAACCACCCTTTCTAACCAGGAATCACAATTAGGCAAGCTGCAGTATGGCTCACTTTAAAGTGCTTTAAGAGTGTCAGAGAGGAAAAACACACAGAATGTGTGGGAGGGAAAAACATACATACACAATCCTGATGTGCATGGTCCCGGTAAGCTGCCAGGGCCCCTGGAGCAGGCAGTGCAGGAGGAAGCATCAGGCCCCTTGGTGCAGACAGGAAGGGCAGGCAGCACACCTGCAGTTCTGGCAATCGCATAGAGATGTCATGACTCCAAGTCCCCAGTGTATTCCAGTATGTGGTGTTCAAATGAGGCTAGCATATCATAAGATCATTTCCATCAACCTACCCTCATCATCACTTAGCACTTCACATTTGGTCAGCTGATGTATTTATTTCTTGGTCCTTGGCATTTATTCTGTATTCTTTTGTATTACATATTAGGGATATGACAGAAGCCTGGCTTAAAACCAGTAGTCACCACAGGGACCTCTGCAGATGTATCCCCATGGACTGTGCTAGTTGTGCTTGAGATAAGGAGCCTCCACTACCATTTTTCTGAAAGATTTAAGCCTGTAGTCCCTCAAAATATCAGAGAGCTTGAAGGATGGGTTGGGTCATATGTTGAACACCTAATTACAATGTCTTGTTATGGTAAAAAGAGGATTTTTTTATTTGCTGTAATGTTATAAAATTCTGAAAGAAACAAATACAGAAGGCATAAGAGAGTATTATTTTTTAAATATACAGCATTTTTAAGAAAAAGGGTTGAAAGCACATTCACATACATGTGTTGTCAAATATATGGCATCAACAAACTGGTACGAGAGCACATCTGTATGTTAGTCATGTCAAATCTAACCCAGACTTGTCCTTATTCTGGATTCACTCATAGTATATGAATGACTTTAAACCCAATTACAATATTAAAGTTTATAAATTAAATTTTGGCCACATGCATTGAATGTTCCCCAAAATAATGTTGGTGTTAGGTGAACAGAAAAGCATCTCACCCCACACTCATACTCAAGAATTTGTAGTTCCCAGTTTAGGTGGGGATTTTACTGTAATAAAAAGTAAATGTTTATGAGAAATAATTTCACATTGGTGGGGAGAGACAAATCACATATATCACAACTTGGAAAATCCAGAATCTTGTGGGTTTTTTACCTTTCAGTAACTTCAGGTATAAAACTTGCACAGAAAGTGCACTATGTGTTTTGCACAAAAGCAAAGAGGTCAAATAATTTCCCTTCACGTGATTAATCAGTGCATACCCCTAACCAATTATTTTCTCACCTCCAGCCCTCCTCCTTAATAGGATTTGTCTCTGGTACCATTTTCCTCAGTGCAGACATGTCCTTGCAAGTCCTTTATCAGACAGTAGATACGAGCGGGTAGCTCTACAGTTTGCCAAGGGGACAGAAACTTGGGGGGGAAGGGGCCAGAAGCAGCCCCAGGGCGGCGGCTCGGATACCAAGTGGTGCTGGATGGCGGCAAGCACTGAGCTCCGTGGAGCTGGGTCAGACTCAGCAGGCCAACCTTGCGCCGCGCTGGGCCCTTCGCGCCGCTGGGCGGGGCGGCACTGCCGGAAGCGCAGTGAGCTCCCGCCTCGCGCAGGGGTCGGAGGTCACGCGCGCCGACGGTGCGGGGTGAGGGGGTCTCGCGGTGCTCTGCTGCGTTCATGGAGGGCTCTGGAGACGAAGAGCCGGAGGCTGAGGGGCCGCTGCAGCAGCTGGTGAAGCGGCAGCGTAAGGAGAAGCGAGAGCTCCAGGGTGAGGGGCCCACGGGCCGGGGAAGGGCGGACGGCGGAGAAGGTTGGGGAGCTGGGGAAAGCAAAGCAGCTCCTTCAGGCGCCGGCCTCGTCGGGGGATGGTGAGGAGGCGTGGGGCGGGTTAGGGTTATGCTCTCGGCTTTTTCCCGGAGGGCGCTCCAAGGGAGCGAAGCTGGGAGCCCCGCACGGCCCCGGGAGTAGCTGGGGATTAACCGCACAGCTCTGGGGAGGGAGGGAGCGGCCCTTGCAGGGCTTTAGCCAGAGGCAGCGGGCGGCGGCCATGGAGGTGCTGCGTCTTGACAGGGGTGTCAGAGCTGTGCGAGGTGTGGTTCTTGGCACCTCTGAGGCACGGTAACGCTCGAGAGCCATAACACAATGCTGGGTTATTAGCATTATGTTAGCGTTTTGCTGCTTGTGTTCTGAGGTAAACAAGGTATGGTTTTGTTAGGCATTTTAGAGTGAAAAGTCTGCGTAAGGGGCCTTGCTGTCATGCAGCTTTTTCATTCAAAGTGCAGTTGATCTGAAGTTAGCTTTTATATTCTGGCCAGCCAAAGTAAAGTATCTGTAGTAGAAGATCTGTGTGGTCTTACACTGCTACACTGCTTACCATCACAAGCCACACTTCACCTACCCTGTTATGGTAGATCAATATAGTTAAGTAATTTCAGTAGTTATCTGGATTCTGTATTGTTGTTTCTAACCTTTTTGTTAAGCCTTTCTCGTTGCTGGTATTCTTGGGTAAGCTATTACTCTCTGGTAAGTTGTTCTCATTGTTATGGCCTTTTCCTTGTTTGGCTTTTTTTGCCATGTAATGAAATAGCCCCATCTGCAGCCTTTTATCAGTTAGAGAGTTAAAGAAGAGGAGAAACAGTACTGGGCATGGTATTGTCATTATATGTACAGGAACATACTTTTTTGATATGCCTTCCTTCAAGTTTGGTTGAAGTTGAAAAGAAAAGTAGGAATTGAGGTTCGTGGTTAGGTGGCTGGAGCACATGGAACATTGGTTGGGAGAGGCTGAGGAGCAAAGGGTTTTTTCATCTAGAGAAGGTGATAGGGGATAACTAAATGTAGTCCTCTGCTAAAGTTGGTAAGGGTATCCAGAAGACAGAGCCCTTGTCTTGCCAGTCAAGAGAGGCAGGTGTCCTATAGTCACACATCTTCCTACCTGAAAAATACATTCCTGGTAAATGAAGTGGTAACTGTTTGACAGAGAGCAAAACAATTTGTTCATAAGAATAGCATAAAGTGCATCTCAGCCTCTGAAAATCCAGCATTTCCTCCAGTTGATGACACTTGTCTCCACCACCCCCATATACTCTCCATTTGTATTTGTGTGTGCCTCTGAAGTCCCAGATTTCCTTCTCCCTCATTATTAATTTTTATGAACAAAATACTCTTCTGTCTTTCAGACTCACCTGATCTGTGAGGCTGATGCTTTGCAGAAATCTTTCAGTATAAGCATCATTGCTGCTTTCTCTTAAAAAGTTTAATTATCATCCCCATCATCTTCAGCTTAATGTGTCAGTCACGGGTGAATGACAGGAAATTGTACAGCTGATGAATAGGTGGCACGGTGTTAAATAGTTGGGGCTGTAACTCTAAAACAGTGAATACAGAACTAGCAGTGAATATTCATCTAAGAGCACAGGTTGTGGAAGCTGTTATTGTTCAGTCTGGAGAAGAAGAAAAGACTATTGGGGATCTGGGTGTAGATCCAACTGCGTAATATATAGACCCAGATTTTGTAAAGTGAAGTGTAGAGAATGAACTGTAGAAAACGTCTGAAAGTGGTAACAACAAAAATCCTTGTAGGAGGAAAAAGGGAGAATATTTTCATAACACGAATGCCTAAACATTGGAAAAAAAAAACCAGGCCAGAAAGGTTGCAAAGTGTCCATCCTTGGAGACTTTGCACAGTCATCTGAATAGTTCCAGATCAGTCTGAATCAGTGTTACCTGATGTAGCTTTGATTCAGCCCTGCATCAAGCAGGAGGTTGAACCAGGTGACCTCTGGACATGCTTTCTAACAAAGCTATTCTATGGTTTGAGAAATGGAGCGTTGACTTGCAGTCTAAAAATACTTAAGGAATTTAAGCAAGTTGAGGTTTATTTTTTTTTTCTTCTTGAATAGAAGAAATTTGCTTTTGGAAACTTTACTTAAAAGGATAGGTAAACTCTTTTTTACTTTTAATTTACTGCTTGTGTAATTAAAAATTTGCATGTCTTCCCTGTGACAGGATTTGAGATCTCAATGCCCAGATAATCTTTTCTAAGACAACAGGCTGATGTCTGCTGCATTGAAGCTCATAAGCATTTATAATAGTAACCTGGCATAAGTTTCTCCTCTTTTTTGGGTACAGCATTTGCATCTTTTAAGAAAAATATAGCTGCTTTAAAATGTGATCATAAAGGGCAGTCTCATAGCTGAACTGTTAAAACCTACCAATATGTTGGTATTTGTAAAGTTTTTTCTGCATAACTTGCCTGCAGTTGTCTTTTCTGTGGTGTCTGAACTGTCTATGCTTAGAGATAATCTTTATTTCACTACTTCTCTAACAGCAAAAATTCAAGGCATGAAAAATGCTGTTCCCAAGAATGATAAAAAGAGACGAAAACAGCTGGCTGATGAAGTTTCCAAACTAGAAGCAGAACTTGAACAGAAGCACAAGGAGGAATTAAAGCAGCTGAAGGAAGTTTCACCTGAGCAGAATAAGGTAGTTTCCTTAACTTGAGCTGGACAGAGCTTATAGCTAAATTAGTGGAATACAGTTATCTGTGAATTATGCTAATGCTCCTTGCTCATACATCTCCTGAAATGTTTCTTTTGGCTGTTTAAGTCTTGTAAAGAAACAAACGAACATCTTTCTGCCTGATATTTCTGGACTAGGTGTTTTTCTTTTAGTGACCTAACAAAGAGTTAAGCAGAATGTACTTTGGTTTGAAAGTGAGAGTGAAGAGACTTCTGAATTACTTGTAGGGAAATAGACTTGATTGAGAAGCATCTGCTGAGAAGCACTGTGGGGAATGAAACATGCTCAGTTGTTAGTTACGAGCCTTTAACAATCTTCTGTAGTAGTTTTTAAGTAGATGTTTAATGCATAAGCGTTAAATATAATGCTTCTGTTTACCTGAATCTTAGATTAATTTCAGGAGTCTTATTTTACTAAGTGAGCTGTCAAAACTTTATGATGGACCTTTCAGGCTAAAATCCTTGCCCTGGAAAAGGAAAAGCTTTCCCTTTTGGCCAGTAAGCAGTGTTCACACTTCAGTGTGGAAGCTTGTACTAGAACATACAGAGCAAACTGGAGATGTGCAGCTCATAACTGTATCTTTGGTGAGACTACAGAAAAAGTAATAAAATGCATGACTCTCGTCTGGGACGTAAAGTGCTTTACTTTTGGCTTTGACGGGTTCTGTGCTATACACAGATCTTTATGGTTAAACTTCATAAATATACCCTGGAATTACCTAGGAACAGAATTTAAAATTGTTTCAGGAGATGTGCATCTCCTGAATGGATATTGATATCCATGGATATCCTGAATGGATATGGATATCTTTAATGGATATCTTCTTCCTTATCATTTATACTAATAAGAACATTTAACTTTTCTTTTTTCTTCTAGACAGATTCTGTAGCTGATGGGGTTGCAAATTTAGAGCTTGAAGGAGCAGAGCAGCATATTCAGCATCCTCGAATATCAAAAGCACAGAAGAGGAGGGTATGACTTAATATTTCAATCACATATTTGTAAAATTTTAAAGTAATATTCACTTAAACTAAACTGTAATAACCAGAGTTAAACGGTTTTGCAGGGGACATTACCTGGCTAATTCAGTATTGACACTGTACCTACTGAATGCCTTGAAAATCTGTAAAGCTGCTACCTAGAGATACGTAAGCATTTTATAAATAGTTGTAGTTTTTCACCCTCAGCTGTGAGCTGGTAATCAGAATAGGTCAGGAGATGGGAGGCAGAAAAAAAATAATCATTATGTAAAGCAAATCCTTGAAAATAATTTCACTAAAAACTTTAATAAATAAAGTAATTGAATTAAAATAATGTAACATACTACATGGAAGTTATGCAAGTAGAATTTTAAATATTTACCAAAAGAACATAAATACTGAAGTTCTTACAGCTTTTGATTTAAGAAACACCACTCGATGTCCAGGCCATTAGGGTTGAATCTTGTTAAGTTTTGTATGTTAGATCGCGATGGATTAACATTCTCATTGTATCTATATGAATGTTGGTTCAGGGCCAGAGGACTACTGCTTTATTGCAGAGTCCATCCCCTGTTACATCATCACTGATGCAGGGCTGCCTTGTAACACATACGATAAAAATGTTCTTAATCCATGGCACCACATCTAGGCAAATTGACAGCTCTGGAGTCTGGTTTTCATGTATTGTGTTTGCCTTAACCAGTCTGATCTTAATTTGTGGTGAATTTAAAGTGTGAAAGTGGGAAAGCTCATTCTCTACTGCTTAATTTTTATTTGCTCATTTACTTTGACTCTTATTCCCTTGTAAATATGAGTGTAAACTTACGAAGCGTTCTATTAAAGTTATGTTGTGTATTATTTCATCCCCGTAGTATTCTCTGTGTATGCATGCATTCTTATCCGTCCTTTAGGTTAGGAGCAGCTTTTTTTATGTGTGCAGCATAGCCAGAGGGAGTTTCAGTTTCCTGCCGTGAACTCCTTTATACAATCACATGCGTAAGCAGTGGATCTCAAACTTATTATGAAAAAGCCATATTTTCTGTTGTTTAGTTAGAATTCCCATACTTGACTTGTTTTTCAGTGTGTTGAAATAGGTGATCCTGAAAAAAAATGACTACAGTTAATGGCCTTTGTGCAGTCTTGTAACGTGTTATTTTATATATTGTTCTAATGAGGATTTCTCCAGTAACATAATTTCTGGTGTGGTGTCAGAGGGAGTTAGGGTATATTGGTCACTTACCGATTGCTAAACTTTGGGTTTAGAAGGTCTCTTAAGATTTCGTAGTACTGATTCAGGTGAACATTTCACAGATACAAATGTACTAAGAAAACACCTGAAGAGTTAGAAGCAAGCACTAAGCTAAGAACTGTACAGGTGTCTTCTAAATATTAATGTTTGTGTGTGTGTTTTAAATCTAAGGAGAAAAAAGCTGCTTTGGAGAAAGAAAGAGAAGAAAGAATAGCTGAAGCTGAGATAGCAAACTTAACAGGTGCTAGACATCTTGAAAGTCAGAAACTTGCTTCCCTGTTGGCAGCAAGGCACTTGGAGATTAAACAGATCCCTTCAGATGGCCACTGCATGTACAGAGCTATTGAAGATCAGCTCAAGGATCAACACAATTCCTGGACTGTTGCAACTCTGAGGAATCAAACAGCAAAGTATATGCAGAGTCACTTTGATGACTTCCTGCCATTTCTTACAAATCCTAGTACTGGTGATATGTACAGCAGAGGTAAGACTTAGGGCATAAGAGACTCTAAAAACTGTTAGTTATTTCTGATAAATATCTATCTTAGTTACAGCTGAATTGGGATTAACCCATTATGGTTTGTTCCTGAACTTTGTTACTTTGTTGGTTCAGCTGTGTTCTCTGGAACACAACTATGATCTACTGTGATACTTGGTACACCTGAATTTTTGGAATTATTTTTTAATAATCTTTGTATTTTTTTCTTTACGGTAATCTAACAAAACATTATTCCACATTAAAAACAATGCAAAAAAATGCTGATTACTAGGTGGTAATCATGTTCTGGCATGTGACTGAAGTTGTTATGAACACCTTGTTACAACTAACTTACCAGGTTTGGGATGATTTTTTGTCAGTTTCATACTGGTGTTTTCAGTTTGTATAGGAAAGCTGTTAAAAGGGAGTGTGAAATTCAAAACAAATCTGTTTAACAGTTTGCTTAGATGCTTTTCATTATTCTACCCTTTATTTTCAGTGTTTATGCTTGGTCTTTTGGAGCCCTTATAAACAGACTAAACTGAAAAATATAAAAACATTTAGTGTGGAGCAGTGGTGTAAGCTGAGTAAATGTAGTTAAATGGAATTCATGTTCTACTTACTTGAGCAATAGATGATTTATTCATTCATGTTATTCATACTCCCTGTTTGGAACAACATGTAAATAACTTTATACATTGTTTTGAACTTACTGCTCCGTTCATTTATTAGTTACAGCTGTGGATTTCATTTGGTGACTGGGGGCTGTTGTGAAGTAGGAGGCACCTTTTCCCATGTTGACAGAGATAATTGTCATAGGATAAATGATCCCCAAGAGAAGACTGAATAAAGTTGCTACAAAGCAGCAGAAAGTTGTAGTTTTCTTATGTTTCTTAAATCTGTTTTAGAGGGAATGTATGAAAAACAATTCTGAGCAGTCTTCAGAGAATCTGTTCTTTCTTTATCAGAATCTGTTCATGGGATTCAGAAGTCTGAAGAGTTGTAATTTATAAATTTGAAAGCTCAGTTCCAGTAGAACATGATTTGTAAAAGGACTGTTTTGCTGTTAACAAAGAAGCTATTGGGAATAAATACCTCAGAGGTTAAAAACAAGGCAGCTAATTTGAAAATCTGTTGAAGTAGGTTTTTATAAACATACCTGACACCCAGGTAACTGAACAGCTTAGTGTACTACTTGCTATCCCATTCTTATCTATTTATCTTTATCTCTGAAACTTAACAGGAAGAAGAGTGTATGTAATTTCATGCTTGTTAGCAGTTCCCTAAATAAAAAAAATCTAAAATATAAATCTGTGCTTCTTGTACGTAACTGTTTTTATTCCTGTCTTCAGTCTTCCTTTTTTTTTTCCCCTGAACCAGTTAATGGGTGGATTTTTTTTGGCCTCTGGTGTTTTATTTTCCTTCTCTTCAGTGAACATAGATATTTTCCTGTATAATATATTTGGGATTTTCAGGTTCTAGTTCTTCATTATAGAATCAGTACTTTTCCTCAGTTGCTTGTTCTTAACCAAGGACTAAAAGTTGCCTTTTCTTTCCTTGCAGAAGAATTTGAAAAATACTGTGATGACATAGCAAATACAGCTGCATGGGGTGGTCAGCTGGAAGTAAGTATTGTATTGACCATTTTTATTTGTGAAATTCTGAATACCTTCAAAAAAGGGCTTCACAAGAAAGAATACCCAAACGAATAAGGGAACATAGTCATAAACCATTTATCCAGAACTTTTTCCTATGGTTATAAATTGTTTCTGCTTTTCTCATGGTATGTCACTATTCAGATGTATTTGACAACATGCAGGTTAATGAATTTAGTACTTCTAAATGTCATTAGAAAGACTGACAATATAAGTGGGGGAAGACTTTCTAAGGAGAAAGCCTTTTATGATGCAAGCTTAGATGGTAACAAGGCTGACTAGAATACAGCAATGTTAATTTTTGTAACATAAACCAGAACTTGAGCTTAAGAAAATATTTATTTTAGTTTGTCTTATTTATTCTTTTATGAAAGAGTAGTTACCAATTTACTGAAGTTAGCCCAATGTTACCTGTGTTTTATCATCAAAACAATGATTAAAGTAACCTGTTCTTAATTAAAGTTTAAAACATGAAAATAATTTTGCTTATTTTAGTAAAGTGCATTTTCTAACAATATTTGAAATGTTATGCCTGAATTCATGTCGGCTAAAACTAGATGTCATCTCCTCCCTGCATTGGATTTAATCCTGTTACTGAATTGCTTTTATACCTTGAAGCTAAGGGCTTTGTCGCACATTTTGCAAACACCTATTGAAGTTGTGCAAATGGATTCCCCTCCCATTATTGTTGGTGAAGAATATTCAGGGAAACCAATAATACTTGTGTAAGTATATAAATTTTATCCCTTCTTAAAATTACTGCACTTTCTTCTACAGCAGAGGGCTCAGCTTTGATTCTCACCTGCTCTTTTATTTGCTGTTACATATCTGATGTTGAAATGCTGCTTGAATACTGAACTTGAAGATCAGAAATTATGTTTGTGATAGACACAGTTTAAAAATACTAAGATAAGTTTTAAGATACTTGTAATTAGAGTTCTTAAAATGCTGTCAGTCAGCCTGAAGTGTGATTCAGTCACTGTTTATAGAATGCAGGTCGAAGGACGTGATCCTGCCCCTCTACTCTGCTCTTGTGAGACCTCACCTGGAGTATTGTGTGCAGTTCTGGTGTCCTCAACATAAAAAGGACATGGAACTGTTGGAACAAGTCCAGAGGAGGGCCACAAGGATGATCAGGGGACTGGAGCACCTCCCGTCTGAAGATAGGCTGAGAAAGTTGGGGCTCTTCAGCCTGGAGGAGGCTGCGTGGAGACCTCATAGCAGCCTTCCAGTATCTGAAGGGGGCCTATAGGAACGCTGGGAAGGGACTCTTCATTAGGGACTGTAGTGACAGGACAAGGGGTAATGGGTTCAAACTTAAACAGGAGAAGTTTAGATTGGATATAAGGAGGAAATTCTTTCCTGTTAGGGTGGTGAGGCACTGGAATAGGTTGCCCAGGGAGGTTGTGAATGCTCCATCCCTGGCGGTGTTCAAGGCCAGGTTGTACGAGGCCTTGGGTGATATAGTTTAGAGCGAGGTGTCCCTGCCCATGGCAGGGGGGTTGGAACTTGATGATCTTAAGGTCCTTTCCAACCCTAACTATTCTATGATTCTATTTTATCTCTTTCATAATTACAAAATAGTAGTGAAAATGATGGAAAATGCAGGAACTTTTTTATATTTTTTTTTTCCCTTCCCCTCTTTGAAGTTGTTGTCGATCTGTACCTGGAAGTCACCGGAATTTGAAACTATTAATACTCTTCTGTTTAATGACCCTGTATTTTCTGTGCTAAAACTTGAATTTGTCTAAGCTATCTTCCAGTGTTATTAACATTTATCATGACGTATACTTTTAGATAAACTGAACACTAATTCTGTAACTTTTTTTTCTTTCCCAGGTATATGAGACATGCCTATGGATTAGGTGAACATTACAATTCTGTAAAACTTCTAACAGACACTCTTACAGAAAACGGCAGCTAGCATACAAAATCAGATATCTACATGGATAACAGTTGTATCTTGATGTGTTGGGCTCCAGACAATTCCCAGATAGACTGGAAAGTAAAACTAAATGTAATGGATTAAAAATGAAAAATACTTACAAGGTTTGACTGTAAATCAGAAATAGCTCTTGATTTAAAACAAAACCAAACAACAGTATTTTGAACTTGTTGAAATTAATCATGCTTAGAAGATCTGCTCCAAAAGGATGGCTGTGTAGATTGGATCTTTCTTTCTTCTTCTTTTTTTTTTTTTTTTTTTTCCAATAGAGCTTCTTCCCATGCTGTAGTGAAAATACCGAGTAGTAACTGTTTTGTTAAATCTGCATTTCTGCTGCAGAGTTCAGATTACCTGAAGGTTCCTGTTACATTCTTTCTGGCAGGTTTTGATTACTGCGGAAGAGTAAAGGCATTTAAAAGATTTGATTTTATTTTGATGGATGGAATAGCCTCTACAATGTTTTTGGTTGTTTTTATTTCCAGCAGGATCTAGCTTTAACACTGTAGTAGGGATCTTCTTGTTTAATTGGGCAGAGAAGAGCAGGAGGCAAATCCAGTAGTAGAGTATCTTGCTTGTCTGAAGGAATTGCACAATTTAAAGACTTTTGCCAAGATTTTACTAAGGTTTGAGGGAGGGCTTCACTTTTTTTTTCCCTGGCAGTTGACAGGTCAACTGAACACTCGGTGCTGTTCCTAGTACTGAATCTGTAGGAAAAGCACTGTTGTTTGTGACTAGACATCATAATATTGATGCAGGTTAAATGTGCTTTTCATCCTTCATAGTCTTTCATCTGTGCATTTCAGTAACACTGAAATCTTACAAACAAAAAGCTTCTCAATATCCTCACTTGAGGTAGTGAAACTCATCTGACCTCGTAATCTATGGATCTGCTGAGCTGAACACTTAGTGTTCTAAAGTATGATGTTTTGTAATGCTCTAAAACAGTTGGTTGCATACAGGTGTTAAACTAAACACTTCGTGTTTTGTTAGCTTTAAAGGTGATCTGCAGAGTAATTAATCTTGTTCTCATTGCTCCTTATGACGCACAGAGACTTGAAAGGTGGAGGTTTTTTAAAATGGCTTGCTTATTTTACATTAGAAGTGCTGATTTTTGTCTTTAAGTTACTGTAAATGTGACGCCAAAATTAAGCACCATACTGAAACCAAAGTTATGATGTAGTTGTTTTCTAACCATAGAAGTGGGGGTTTTTTTGTTTTGTTTTGTTTTTTAAAGTCTTAGTCAATAACATGATAATTTGTCTGTATTTTAGTGCTGATGAATTGGTTTGGAGAAAATCAATTCACACCAAGTTTAAACGTCTTTGCCCTCCTTTGAGGATTATGAGCTAACAGTGCACATCTTGTAGTCCTTTGGTAAAGCTAGCCAGCAGATTGACATTCTTGGGATTTATAAATTACAAAGAAAAAGCTGCTCTTAAGAAGGAGGAGAGAAGTGTTCACTTTATGGATCAGAATATGTCTTGATTTAAAGCACTTTGAAAGAGAGGGCGGGGAAAAAATCAGGCAATTGTAGCAGGGAGGTTTGGACATGCAAAATTTGAATTGTGACTTCAGACTGGTGCCTGCTGGGAAAACAAAGTATTAATCAGATCAAGAGATTTTTTACATCCTTATTTATCTGGTACAGTATAGCAAATAGAGCTGTATTTATAGCAGCTGGTTTACTGTAGAATTTGGTTTATTACCTTGGTTATATAAAACTATGTTTTTAATTTCAAACAAAAAATTTGGATACACTAGTATGGAAAAAGTGTTTCTATTTTTAATACCACTATGAATTTCACAAATAATGATGAGAAATGCTCTTCCCTGCTGTTTAAAATTGACGTGATATGAAATACACATGTTGCATTTTATAGATACCCTGTGAAAAAAGTTCTTTGGTTTTCATTCTTGTTTGATTAACTGACAGAGAAAAGATGCCAGAATTTTGGAAGGCTTGTACCAACAGTTTGTCCTGTTGAAGATGTTTACAATTTGTATAAAGCAAAATACTGTTTTAATACAGTGAGTGAAAGATCTTTACTCAGGCTGTATGGGACTTGCAAAAAAATAATAAATTATTTGTGGCAAATCTTGTTGTGATCACTTTTTATTTTGTACTTACATTGTTCTCTTGTTAATTCCTAGTATTAGTAAGTTTACTCATGTAATTTTTATGGCTTTAGGGTCCTACTGTGGTATGAATTCTCCAACAACTGGCTATTTTTATTCAGAATTTTACTTACGAAATCTTGATCTCTTCTGGAAAGATACATTTGAAAATACTATTGAACTTCACTTGATCATTTTTATGTATGGAGAAACTGAGAGGCTTTTTTCATACAATTTACCTTTTAATTTCTTTGTCAGATTACATTTTCTCTGCAAAGTATCACTACTTATTTTGAGGTTTTATGTATTTAAGTGGCTTTTCTTGCTTTTATCTGCAGTTAATTAACATCACTTTCTTCAGCCACTATTTCTTTTAAGGACTATTAGGTTAATTTTTTGTTTTTGCAAGATTGTGATTAGTTTATGTTAGGAACGCTCACATGAATAGGAGTGAAACTGTCTAGTGGTCTGCAGTCAATTGTGTGTAATATTCTTAAAGGGAAGAAGTTATTTATTTTTGAAAGCAGTGGATACAGTCAGGCAAGTTGGGGCACGGAAGAGACTCTCCTCCTCTTGGAGCTACACTTAGTGTTTAGCATCCATGCCTGTTCCCTTCACTTAGTCTGCTCACAGTTGTGTGTGTTCTGGAAAGACCTGATCAGACATATCGAGTAGGTGTGCTGGGTAAGTGGCATCTTCAGGGATGCTACAGCCTTTGTAGCAAAGGAGTGAATGCAGAATACCCCAGCGATATCCAGAAGGCCATGATGAGGGTGGGCATCAGAATGTTCCATCTGCAGCATCTTGGTGGACAAGACAGCACTTTGAGACAGCACCTTGGGCTATCATCTTTCATAGGCCAAGGGACTGCTGTGAGTACTGCTTTCTATTTTTAGTCCTCTAGACAAAACCTGACCTGCTCTCTCTCAGCTCCTGGGGTGTACTTATGAGTGACAAGCAGCCGATGTTGATTACTTGATCCATGTGGTAACTGAGCAGACTTAAAAATAGCATCTGAAATGTAGAAGGCATTTTCTGTGCTTTCCTTGGCTCCAGTAAGAACATTAATCCACCAATTCCTTTGTTTTGAGAGACTAGTAAAAGCAGCAGATGAGTTATGATTAATCACTAGAGACTTATGATGTGTGTATTCTGAATGCAACTAAAATCCTTAGCAATTGCCTCTGTACATTATAAACAGATACATCATAAAAAGAATTGCTTACGCACACAATGTTCAGTGAAATTCAAAATAAACTGATTTAGTCTCTATATTCCAGATTAAATAATACATCAAGGTGTCAATTGACAAGCTTCATCCTCTCCACAAATCAGGAAAACCAGAGTGCATAAGCTTAAATAGTAAGGAGATAAAAAATATTCATAGGGAGCTGTATCTTCTGCAAAACCTTCTTGAACTTCCTCGTCTCACAAACAAGTTGTCATGGTATCTGGAGAGATGAAATACATGAAGAGTTTGAAAATGCTGTGTTTATCAGAAAAACATTCCAGATGTGAGTTATGCTATTTTATTTTTCAAACGTTTTTGGTTTGGGTTTGGGTTTTTTTTCCTTTGAAGAAGAATGATCTGTAGCAACACTTGGGCAAGGTATCTTTCTGTCACATTGTTATGTAAGTCATGAAGATACACTTTAATAATTGTAATCTGGAAATTATTTGGATACTCTTTCAAGGAAGCTAAGGATGTGGAGATTTTGAACTAACAGTTCTTCCTTTCATACATATGTATCCTATAAAACTCATGAATTAAACCTCAGCAGTATAAACGGGCATTAGTTTCTTGTTAAATCCTGATTAGGTTCTACTGACTTGGGGAAAAAGCAAGGGACAAGATAACAAACCATTTTTCCCTTAGTATGCAGAATGCTGGAGCACAAAAAAATGGGAACAGAAGAGGGTATGTTGCAGCTAAATGGGGATACCTGAATGAAATGCGCAAAAATACCTGGCCTAAGAACAGTGAAACGATTGACAATACAAACATAAGGGCTAGAATAGCTATAGGAGTGGCCAAGCAGAGAGATGGCCAGCTAAGCTAGTAACCTGTTTTCCAGAAGCAAAACACAGGTGGATTGTGTGTACGACTGTGAGGATCTGTTCTTAGGCTAAAATACCTTTCTAAAAGGGAAAGAAAAGGTAAGCATTTGCTACTTTCTGTAGTTCAGAATGTACTTAACAATATGAAAAATAATATGCATCCTTTTACAGATCTTACCTTGTGTGTGTGTCTTTGCATCTTGTGCTTCTGAATCATTGCACTGTATAACCAGCAGTCTCAAACATTTGATGAGCTCCACCAAATAGAGACCTGTTTTGTAGCTTTACTGGCAGCCTTCATTGCACCATCCTGACTGTTGGGTGGTACTGCAGATTGCTTCAATGGATTTTAACAACTTTATTTTAATCTCTGGTATATTTATCAGTATTTGGCATACTGTGTTTTCTGTCAATTATTTAGTAGCAATATTTGCTGTCTGCATGATCGGCTCTTTGGGTGTTATCCATCTGCTTCTGTATGTTTTATCAGTTTTTACAGACAAATACAGACTGAGTTGACATGGAGATCTTTGAGAATAACTATGTGGGACAAGAAGCTAAAGAATGTAATGAAAGAAATGAAAGAATGCTTTAAATCCAACTGGAAAAACTGCTGTTCAGTAAAAAGAATTAAAAAAAAAAAAAAGATACTTAAGGAAAATTACCTTGCTGATATTTCAAACCTTTACATTTTACTTTTTATGCTTTAATTGTGACAATTGAGTAAAATTTTTTTTTTGTTTGGTTTTAATAAAAAACAAAGTGGATATCACACCTCCGGTAGCGTGTACTGAGGTTTTGCAGATTCTGTTATTTCTAAAAGAATGGTGGCTTTGCCCAGCGTAACAAGTAGTATTCCCTCTCTAGTGCAAGGACACATCACAAAAATTAAGATAAACATCTTTTTTCTAGTAAGACCATTTGAGCTTCTAATGCTTTTTTTGTGAAACATCCTTGATGCTGGGTGTAGGGATAGAGATGTTCAGGGTTTTTTTTAATTTAAAGAAGTGCCTTTAATGGTGGAGGTGTTTTGAGGGGACAGGAATGACACAGATTACTATTCTGAACTGGGCAATAATTGAACTGATACTTGGGCATTCTGTGGGTCTGTTGAGAAAACTATTAAAAAATCTGTATATCAGTATATCATCTACAGTTTGGATCTGTGTTGTCTTGTCCCATGTGATAGCCCCTTCAGAAAAGATTTCGCTACAGAGTGTTGGTTGGAGCTGGAGCTACAGACTGTGGACTGTTGCA